TTGTTTTGTTTTGTTTTGTTTTGTTTTGTTTTGTTTTGTTTTGTTTTTGAGACCGAGTCTCGCTCTGTCTCCAGGCTGGAGTGTAGTGGCACAATCTCGGCTAACTGCAACCTCTTGCCTCCCTGGTTCAAGTTATTCTTCTGCCTCAGCCTCCTGGTTAGCTGGATTTACAGGCACGTGCCACCACGCCCAGCTAATTTTTGTATTTTTAGTAGAGACAGTTTCACCATGTTGACCAGGATGGTCTCGATTTCCTGACCTCGTGATTCACCCACCTTGGCCTCCCAAAGTGCTGAGATTACAGGTGTGAGCCACCACACCCAGCCATTAAGTTAATTTTTGTATTACAGTATGAACTTCAGTTAAGTTTCTTTCTTTGTTGCCCATGAATTCTTTTTTGAGTCCAAGTTTTGCTCTTGATGTCCAGGCTGGAGTGCAGTGGTGCGATCTTGGCTCACTGCAACCTCCGCCTCCCAGCTTCAAGCAATTTTCCTGCCTCAGCCTCGCAAGTAGCTGGGATTGCAGGCGTGCACCACCACGCCCAGCTAATTTTGTGTTTTTAGTAGAGACAGGGTTTCTCCATGTTGGTCAGGCTGGATTTGAACTCCTGACCTCAGGTGATCCACCTGCTCAGCTTCCCAAAGTGCTGGGATTACAGGCATGAACCACTGCACCTGGCCTGTTGTTGCCTGTGAATTTTTTTAAAGCTCCATTTGCTGAAAAGACTATTAACCTCTATTGAATTGCCTGTACACCTTGGTCAAAAATTAGTTAAGCAGATTCATGTTGGTCTATGGGTTCTCTATATTATTCCATTGATCTTTGAGCCTAAACCTATGCCAATACCACTTCATTTTGATTACTGTTGCTATCCACTAAATTTTAAAATAGAGTAAAATTATTCCTCACTCTATGTTCCTTTTAAAAATTGTTTTGGGGCCAGGTGCAGTGGCTCATGCCTGTAGTTCCAACACTTTGGGAGGCCGAGGCAGGCGAACACCTGAGGTCACGAGTTTGAGACCAGCCTGGCCAATATTGTGAAACCCCATTTCTATTAAAAAATACAAGAACTAGCCAGGTTGAGGGGGCAGGTGCCTGTAATCCCAGCTACTCAGGAGGCTGAGGCAGAATTGTTTGAAGCCAGGAGGTGGAGGTTGCAGTGAACTGAGATCATGCCACTGAAATCTAGCCTGGGTGATAGAACAAGACTCTGTCCCCCCCAAAAAATAATTGATTATTATTTTATTAATAAATTGATTATTTAATTTTAATAAAAATTTTTTCCTTTGGCTTTGCATGTACATTTTAACGTGTATTTGTCCCTATTTACAAAATGTGTTGCAGGGATTTTGATAGAAATTACTTTAAAGCTAAAGATCATTTTGGTGGGAATTGACATTTTGTTGAGTCTTGCGGTTTATGAATATGGTATATGCCTCTGCTTATTGAGATCCTCCTTGATTTATTTCATAAGGGTTTTGTAATTTTCAGCTTATAGATTATATACATATTTTTAAAATCTAGACAGTTTTTTAGGGTGTCATTATTTGGTGTATTGAGTTTTAAATTTCAGTGTGCACTTGATACTTGAAATTATAGAGAAATACAATATATAAACTATTTATATGTATACTATGACTTTGCTGAAGTCAGGGGAATTGGGGGCACTACAATGAGCAATATTGGTCAGTAGTTTTACTTTTTTTGTTTTCACTTTATCTGATTTTGTGTTTGGTGTAATACTGGACTCCCAAAATAAATTAGAAAGTGTTTCTCCAGTGCCGCCCCCCTCTTTTTTAGCATGACATTTTGTTGAATTGGTGTTGTTTCTTTAAGTATTTGGTAGAATTTTTTGGTGAAACCATTTGAGTCTGGAGCTTTCTCTTGTGGAAGATTTGAGTTACATATTCAATTTAATGGGTTTTGATAGATTATTCTTTTTGAAGAATTGTTCCATTTCATCTAAATGCTCTAATTTGTGGAATTATTTCAAGTATCATTACTCCCTTCATGACAGAAGGTTCTGTAGTGGTATCCGTTGTTTTACTCCTAATAGTGGTTATGTGTGTTTTTTTTCTTTATCTTTGTTAATCTTCTTAGATGTTTATAAATTTTACTATTTCAAAGAACTAGCATTGATTTTCTTTTTTTCTTTCGTTCTTTCTTTTTTTTTTTTTTTTTTTTTTTTTTTTTTTTTTTTGAGAGGGAGTCTCGCTTTGTTGCCAGGCTGGAATGCAGTGGTGTGATCTTGGCTCACTGCAACCTCCGCCTCCCAGGTTCAAGCGAGTCTCCTGCCTCAGCCTCCTGAGTAGCTGTGATTACAGGCACTTGCCTGTAATTACAAAAATACAAAAATTACGCAAAGGTAATTTTTGTATTTTTAGTAGAGATGGGTTTTCACCATATTGGCCAGAATGGTCTCCATCTCTTGACCTTGCGATCCACCCACCTTGGTCTCCCAAAGTGCTGGGATTACAGGCGTGAGCCACCATGCCTGGCTGTCATTGATTTTCTATGTGTTCTGTCTTTTATTTCTATTCTGATCTTTATTATTTTCTTTTTCCTACTTGCTTTGGTTGTATATTGTTTTTTGTAGTTTGTAGTTTCTTGAGGTGGGAGCTTAGATTATTCTTAGAGACTTATTTTTTACTTTTTCTTTTGAGACAGAGTTTGGTCTTGTTGCTCAGGCTGGATTGCAATGGTGCGATCTCAGCTCACTACAACCTCCACCTCTCAGATTCAAGCAACTGTCCTGCCTCAGCCTCCCAAGTGCCTGGGATTACAGACATGCACTACAATGCTTGGCTAATTTTCTATGTTTAATAGAGACAGGATGTCTCCAAGTTGGTCAGGCTGGTCTCGAACTCCTGACCTCAGGTAATCCGCCGGCCTCGGCATCCCAAAGTGCTGGGATTACAGGCATGAGCCACCATGCCCGGCTGACTTTATTCTAATGTAAGCATTTAGTTTTATAAACTAAACTCAGCACTGTTTGAACTCCATCTTACATTTTCCTATGTTGTAATTATATTTTCTTTTTATTTATTTATTTATTTTTCTTTTGAAACGGAGTTTCACTCTTATTATCCAGGCTGGAGTGCAATGGCGCGATCTCGGCTCACCGCAACCTCCGCCTCCTGGGTTCAGGCAATTCTCC